TGCGTAGTGAATGTTAAAATTGTATACGGTTATGAGTATTCCCTTGTACTCAGTAAAATAATAAAATTCTTTTGCTTTTTTTTTTATAAGTTGTTTTAATTTAATTTTTCTATAAATTTTGATTAAATAATTTTATATAATAAATAAATAATGATTAAATTTTTTTTTCTTTTTGTGCATAATTTTATTGGATACATATTTACATTTAAATAAAAAAAATTTCAATTATCATTTATTTGTTGTATAAAATAATCAAATTAAATTACATAAAATAAAATTAAGAAAGTGGTGCAACTAAAAAAAGACTAAAGAGAGTAATTAATAGTTTAAAATTAATTTATAAATTTATACTTTTAAATAACTATAATTAATTATTTATAAAAAGATAATAATTTATGTGTAAAAACTTACTTTTAACCTTTTACCTTACTAAATTTGTAGGTTTTAATCTATTATTTTATATTATGACACTTTTAATTATTCACCTATACAAATTAAAAAAAATAACTCTTATTTAATGTCAGGTTATAACATTTTGATAATTCTGTTAACTGATTATTAGTTCTATTAACTGACTATTAACTTTGTTATATGACCATTAACTCTGTTAATTGATTGTTAATATTTTATTAACGAAACTAACAAATAAAATTGAATTTGAATTTCATGTTTTTTTATAATGAAATACTAATAGCTAGTTAACAGAACATTAAATAAGGGCTATTTTTTTCAATTTGTATAGGTAATGAGTTAAAATTGTCATAGTATAAAATAATAGGTTAAAATTTATAAATTTATTAAGTTAAATAGCTAAAAGTAAGTATTTACCATAATTAATTTATGTGTGATTCTAATACTTTTCACTGTACCTACGTCTAGACCACGCGCTTTTGTGAAAGAAGGCAAAGAGAGCATAGGAAAGCACTGAAAAAGGGCAAAGACAATTGAAAACTACAGCCTGTTTGGTAATCTCAACAATCCTGAGGAATGCCAAATGCCTGAAAAGTTTAATTTAGAGGAAAAATAGTTTTGTTTGATATTTTTTTGTTGCGAATTTTACTATAAAATTTTGCT